CAAAGAAAACTATCTATATGCTTTTATTAAAAACTGGATCATTGGATAATGCAATTCAAGACTTTTTATTGGCTTAGCCATTATGGTATATGAGCCAATATACCATAATCTACAAATATGGTAAGCGTACGCGTCAGCTTAAAATCAAAAGGGAGCTAAAAAATCCGGTTTTTTCTTACAAAATAATAATTTCTTGGGGGCGTTTTAATAAAACAATTATTCCACGAGCGCGCGTTGGATATGAGATGATAGATAGCCAACGAGGCGCGTAGCGCCGAGTTGGCTATAATCATCTCGTATCCAACAAGCCCGAGTGGAATAATTGTTAAAAATACATATGAGTGGTAGGCAGAAAAAACAACTACATATACATCCTTATATATATATATACATCCCTATATATATACATCCCTATATATATAAATATGTATATTTGATGATTTATTCCTTTTGCCGTTTTATACCAGACTTTTAAATAGTATGCAGTATCTTTGTATACTCGTCTTTTGACTTGATTACATTAGCGAAAGTTTTGTTATACTTATTGGTAAGTTAACCCTTTTCCTACACTCTTCAATTCAGAACATACATTGGAACGCCGCTCAATTTGAACATTATTAAATCAGACAACAAAGTTTTTATAGTAATGTCATTTTCATTTTAGAGTCAAAATACTTTTTTCACAGAATCCGTGTACATTTGTTCCTTTCAGTTAGTACTGCACTTGTTACGAATAATCTTAAAATTACCCCCATATCGATGACAAGTTCCCCGCAGCTCAGTGGGTAGAACCCAGGTCCCACTCAGGGTGGAGATCCTGTTCCGGGGAACTTGCCATTTTCCTCTTTTTAAATCTTTTTTTATGCTTTATTCTGTTCTCATTTTGTACCTTGCTATTAAAAAGCCTTAAAGGTCTTTGCATATTGGTGATTTTATTTTTAAATAATCTGGGATTGTGAATATTGTTCCAAGTAAATTTCGAATCCAAACGGGGGAACACGTCAATTTTCTTTTTCTTTGTCGATCTCTATGTTTAGGTTTGTTTGATTGTTTTTTTTTATTTATGTGTTAAATTTTTCTATAATTCGATTTATATTTTTGAATTCAAAATTTTTAAAAATACAACTGAAACTGAGTTGAAGAATTATTATTTCCACGTGAAGGGAGCCTCTGATAGGCTCGCTGAAGGGTGTGTGATTAAAACTTGCGTCATATTTGTGACGTACCCACCAGTGATTGGTCTGTTTCTATATTCAATATTCATAGAATATTGTAAAGTTTTATCAAACTAAACAGGTCGTGGACGGGTGAGGACTCGTTACTATAACGACACTTTGTGCCAAGGGTTCGCTTGCTGTTGGAATTCATAGACTCACGCTTGAAGGATGATGTCTGAAGGTAAGCATTCGGTCTCTCCTTCATAATTACTACTGAAGTTATCTTTCCCTCACTGTAAGGGTAAGAAACAACTAGTCGGTGAATGAGTGCGCGTTTGGTTCGTTTCATGCTTCGACTTCGACTTCGAGCCATTTGAGTCGTTCACCTTGACACCAAACTAGAAGAAACTGACTAAAGTTTCAAGTTTAAAGAAATACCGTGTTTACCTTTTGCAGGAAATTACTCTCGATTAGTAAGATTTCGAAAAAATGTGGTAATAGTACACAAGATTCACGTAGAACGCAGCCTAGTGCGTTTGAAGTTTGTGTTTATGGCTACTCTTAACCTGAAAAGAAATTGTTGCAGTAACATTTCAAAACCGCCTTTTACAATAAACTTCGTGAAGGCACCGAAAACGTCTTTGCCTCTAGAATTCTGTTATAGTTAAAACTCGCTACGCCTCCCCCTTCCCACACTCATCTGCCATTATTCGATACTCGAGAGGTTTGAAATAAGCCAAGCGACTCAAAATTGTTTTGTTCATTCCTATTGCAGGAAGAATGAGATGACGAAAACGACTGTAGCACAGAGGATACAGGAGAACAAACTGAAGTCAATGAATGTAAAAGAAACTCTACGAAGATAACATCTCTGATACTGTTACAATGTCCCAGCTTAAATGGTGACTGCCAGAATTTCGAAATTTGCTCTCGTACATTAAATCGGAATTTGTGGAGTATCACGATGGACTCTTTAAAAACAGAAGGTACTGAGGATCGAGGTGAGACTCGACTTTAGGCGGTGGCAGTCACCAGTGTGGTGGGATTTTTTTAAGGTGGCACCGAAAAGCAATGATATTAAGAAAACTAAAAGTTAAAACGCGCATAAATCGGCTCATCCTCGGTGTAAAAACCTGTGAAGCTCACGAGTGACGTAAAACAAAGACAACAAAACATTATAAACAATAGCGTATACAGCAAAACAATACCTCATGAAACAAAGAAAACCTCGTCAGGTTTTTACACCGAGGATGACCCCATAAATCGGCTTGTTACAAGGGCGAACTAAATTATTCAAACCTTTCTCGAAAGAATATTCACTATTGATGCTAAAACGGCATTCAGCCATGAAACAACATTCCATTTATTTTTCCGGTCTTCCACAATTCTTTTTTTTATTTGGAAAACATGCTTAGACTTCGCCACGTGCGATCCATTCATCGATCAGTGCCACTTTAAAATATTTCATACATTTGCTTCATTAATATTTTAACAATGGACAAGAGAACAATGCCAATCAAAATGTACATGAAGACAAAATTTGTTCAATAAGCTGGCATAAAAAGAAGACTTTTTCCTTACTACTTGCTACGAACCGAAAA